CCCATATCTCTCTTTTTTGATTAGTTCTTTATCTGATTTGGGGATTAGGGTGATGATGGCTTTCATAAATGAATTTTGGAGGATTCCATCCCTTCTAATTTCTTTGAAGTTCTTCAGGATATCAATGATATAGCATCCTTAAAGGTTTTGCAGAGTTCATCCGTGAATCTATCAGGTGCTGGGCTTTTCTTAGTTGGTAGGTTCTTTATTACTGAGTCAATTTCATTGTTTGTTATTGGGTTATTAAGCACATTTATATTTTCTTGGATAAATATTAGTAGTTTGTATATGGCTAGGAATCTATTAATTTCTTCAAATTTTGCTGATTTGTTGGAATATAATTTTTCCAAGTAGTTACTATCTTTTGGATTTCGACAGTGTATGTTGTGATTTTACGTTTGTTGTTTCTGACTGTGTTGATATGAGTCTTTTTCTGTCTTTCTCTTGGTGTGTCTTGCTAAGAGTCTATTTTATTCATTCTTTTGAAGAACAAGCTCTTTGATTCCTTAATTTTTTTAGTCTCCATTTCATTGATTTCTCTTCTGATCTTTTTTTCTGTTTTTAATTGCTTTACTATATTTCCAAATTATCATTTTTTTTTCCTTAAATTCTTTTATTGGTACATTTTAGTTATACAATACATTTACATTTATCATTGTGTACTTGTACCTGTACATGATGTATCTTAGTTCTTATTTTTTCCCCATTGCCTGTCCTCCCTTCAACCCTCCACTCTTCCCCATTTACAAAGACTTTGTTTCCATTTTTCCTTTTCTTATAATTTTTCCTTTCCCTTTTTTCCTTACCCTTTCCCTCCCACTTCCCCTACCCCTTTGGACCTTTTCTTCCTATTTCAAATTATCAATTATTCATTTTAATCATTTTAAACCTTATTTATATCTTTTTAATTTCCCTCCTTAATTTCAATTTGGGGCTGGTTTGTTGTTGTTTCTCAAGTATTTTAAGATTTCTCATAAGGTTATTTATTTGGGAATTCTCTGTTTTCCTAATTTGAGCATTTATTGGGACCAATTTTCCTCTTAGAACTGCTTTTATTCTATCCCAGAAGTTTTCTTGATATGTATAGTCACTGTCATTAACTTCCAGAAATTTTTAAAATTTCTTTTTTGATTTCGTCTGTGACTCATTGTTTGTTTAGCAATGTATTCTTAATTTTCCAGGAGCTTTTGCCTTTTTCAAAATTTCTTCTGTCATTGATTTCCATTTTTTATGAAAAAAGGAAAAAATGGAAACAAAGTCTCAGTATATAGGGAAGGGTGGAGAGGGTGATGGCAGGGCACGAAATGAGAAAAAAATAAGAACTAAGATACACCATGTAAAGGTACAAGATCCCAAGGAGGAATGTAACTATTTTACATCTAAAATGTACTAATAAACTTGATTGATTGATTGATTTCTATTTTCATTGCATAGTGGTCAGATAGTATGCATGGGGTGATTCTAATTCTTTTATACTTACTTAAGCAGGCTTGGTGTACTAGTATGTGATCTATTTTGGAAAAAGATACCATGTGCTGCTGAAAAGAATGTATACTCTATTGTATAGGAATGGGATACTCTCTCTCTCTCTCTCTCTCTCTCTCTATATATATATATATATATATATCCATTATGTCCTTATGTTCAAGGGTATGGTTCAGCTCTGAAATTTCTTTATTGGTTTTTTGTTTAGTTGATCTGTTTCTTTGTAAAAGTGGGATGTTAAAATTCCCTACTATGATTGTGTCCATGTGTATTTGATCTTTTAATTTCACCAAGTTTGTTTTATGGAGATAGATGCTGCACTATTTGATGCATACATGTTTATTAATGTTATCTCTTCTTGTGGGATTGTTTCCTTACTAGTATGTAGTGATCTTCTTTGCCTCTTTGTATCCATATACATGTCTGATATTAGATTTGCTACTCCTGCTTGTTTTTGGACAGATAGATTCTGGTTTTTGATCCAGTCTGTCAGTTTGTGTCTTTTTTTTTTTTTTTTTGGTACCAGGGATCGAACTCAGGTCCTTGCGCTTGCAAGGCAAGTGAGGGAAACACTAAGCTAAATCCCCAGCCCAGTTTGTGTCTTTTTGATTGGATAGTTGAGGACACTAACATTGAGAGATATCACTGAGCTATGTTGGCTATTTACTATTATTACCTTCCTTATCTGTTGTTGTATCATTGTATTTTTGTTGTTGTTTATTCATTGATTTCACTAGTTATCTCTGTGTTTTTAGATGTGCCCAAATTGTTGTTCTATCAAGAATATTCCTGAGTATTTTCCTACAATGTCTTCCTGTCCCATACCTACACTGTGCAGCTATGTCCTTGGGTGCTTCTAATGTAGAGACTCACCACCAACAGGATTCACCACTCAGGATTCAGAGACTTGTGTTCTTCCCACTGTCTCCAACTCCAGACTTCAGATACCTTGTCCTGAAGAAGCCAAACTGCTGAAACTCACGCTCCGCCATCTTGTTCTCTCTCCTCTGTGTTTCTCATTGATGTTCTCCAAGTCTCTCTGATATGGCTCTTTCTCTATTCAGCCATGTTGGCTCTTCCAGCTCATTCCTTCTCAGTGGCTCTTTCCTTAGCTTCTATGATGTGACTCTTCCTCTAGGCAGCCATCTTGAATCTCCTATTCCAGACTTTTGCCTTATCCAACAGTAGGTCTGTTGTTTGACCGGCACTTCTGTTGTCCTATGCAGATGGGAAGCAATGCAGAACCAGCTTTAAATTGGTGCTGGCTGAGCTGAGGCATGGAATTGACAGTTGTTGTGTTGGTCAGGGATCAACCTATGGATCCCAGCATTCCACAGGGCTGCAGGTTTGTGTGACAGAATTTTAATTACCTATTATATCTAGTCCCTAAAATAGTGTCCTAGAAAGAATAAACATTAAATGAATATTCTTGTATATTGCTTCAGCATGAATGATTAGTCTATCTGGTTTCTTTTAAAAGAAAATAAATAAATATAATCAAAATTTTCTTTTTGTTTTTTAAACAAAATCTTGACTGACTAGTTTTCAGATTTTCATGAAATGATAAAAAAGAATGCAATTCTTTAAAACTTCTTAAATCATATATATAATTTTAATGGACAAAAGTTGTCATATAGTTAAAACAATCTCATCAAAATCTCAATCAACATTCTAGAGAAAATATAATTTTCTAATATGTTTTCTGAATAATTTATATATATATATATATATATAGAGAGAGAGAGAGAGAGAGAGAGAGTCATGAAGGTACTGATGCTTTGTTTACCCTTATCTGATTATATCTAGTTCATTAACTAAATACATGAACTAGGTTGGATGGAAATTTTTCATTAATCAAAAAACCTAAATTAGGCTTATTATATTTTAAGCTTTTCATTATGCAACATTGTTTATTAATCAGCTTTCCAGTCAGTGGGACAGGATACCTGGCATCTGTGACTTAAGGGTGAATGATTTAGTTTGCTCACAGTTCCAAAGATTTTAGTCCATGGTTGGCTAGCTCCAAGGCAGAAACATTGTGGTGAAAAAGCCTAACAGAGAAAAGCTGTTCACCTCATGGCAGGCTGGTAGCAGAGGGAAGGAAGGAATTGGGGGTAGAAATATACCTTCTGAAGCTATTGACAACTTCTGCCAGCCAGCCCCCACCCCTAACAGCACATTTAACTATGAACTCATTAATGGACTACCCCACTGGTGAGTATTGTGCCCCAAGGTTCAAACACTTTCCCAAAGCTCCACCTCTGAACATGTAAGACTTTTAGGGGACATTCTAGATCTAAAGCACGAGTCAATCTTTCCCAGAGACAAAATCAGTAGAGGAGTAAAGAGATATACATTTAGATTACAGAGATATAGATACAGTTATAGATATAGATAAGAGAAAGAATACACATTCACACATATCTGAATGAGAGGGAATGTATTAGGGGAATTGTCTCACACAATTATAGATGCTAAAGAAGAAGTCCCAGGACAGCCTTTCTGCAAGCTGAAGACCCTCACTTCCCAGTTGTGCAATTTTGTCCAAGCCTGAAAGTCTCAGAGCCAAGGAAGCTGATGACATAGCTCTCAGTACAAGGCCTAGGTCCTGAGAAACTTGGGAGCTGTTGATGCGAATCCTAGAATTTCCATGGCTGAAAAGCCTCACTAGAACTTTGATGTCCAAGAGCAGAAAGGGCAGAGCTCCAAGAGAGAGTGAGGGGAAATCCTTTGCTCTGGCTTTTTGTTCTGTCTGGTCCTCAGTTACTGGAATGGTTCCCACCACACTAAGGCTGAGCACTCCCTCTCAGGACACTGACTCACAGTCCATTACCTTTGGAAACATTCTCATAGATGCACAGAAGTTGTGCTTTGCTAGTTCTCCAGGCATCCCTTAATCCAGTCAAGATAGTGCCTAAAATTAACTGTCACAAACATCTCTAGTTTCCTATCAATTATCATTCCCAACTTGTCAAGTTTCCCAATATTTGTATTTTGCCAATATAAATATAAAGAATACTAAGAATTAATTAAAGATAAAACTGTGTGGCAATTTTTTCTCATTCAAAATCAGTATAAAATTAAATACTTTTCATTTTTTATTCATTTTCTAATCACATATTTCCTGTTGTAAATATGAAAAACATCTTACCTATATTATGCCTTATAAAATGACATTTAAATGACATATTACAAATTATTAAGATGGATGTGCATCTGGACATATTGAAGTTATTTTTTTCTTTTTAGTTTGACACATTCTAATTTGGAGCAACATTTATGTGCTAACATAAATAAGCAAAAACACACACTCGTCATTCCAATTATACTCTCAAACCATCCAAAATTTTGAAAATATTAGCTTTTCTGAAAACACATATACTTTACAGAGCTTAAAAAAATATTTTCTAAAAATTCAGTTTGCTTCTATACTTAGGATTAATGTATCTTATTAATATAGGTCAAATATATAACTTTTAAAACATAGGTAGACTATTATGAATAACTGAACTTACGTTATAGATAATGTGAAAAATCTGAGGGCCACTTCAGACTGACCAGATTGTTATCTCTGCCTTGAATATCTCATATCTTCAGCAGCACAGTCTATTTTTGGAATTGAAAACCAGTTTGGTCACAGCAGAAGTGGAATGACTGAAGGCTTGGGTAATGGGCTATAAAATCTTTCCCATCTAGGTCACTGATTGATTTGAGACTGTCACCAAGGTAGGTAGAAAAACAGTGATTGCTGCCATATAGGAACTGTCAAATCATATGAAATGAGAATATGGTCTCAATTCTAATAGACACATTTCCTATCTACCCACATAACACATGCTCATGTACACACACACACACACACACACACACACACACACACAAACTCACACCCCTAATGATTTCTTGGACCATTTCAGAGCAGAGTAAAATATAGAATACTCTTGGGGCAATTCTTCTTCTCTGAAATTGAAGTACAGAAGAGGAAATATTTTGATTAATTCATCTAAGTGGTTTTAGCAACCAATTTCTGCTCTAGAATTAAATGAGCACACTTTATCTAGGGGTATCTTCTGTGCTTTGATTTTTATTCTATTGTGAACAATAATGTTAGAGGTTTTTTTGTTTGATTTTTGCTCTTTCACTCTATGGCCCTCCAATGGTATTTAATATTTGTAGGAAGCACCATTTGTCCAAATGGAATAAGAATTTAGTTTGATCAGCAAAGAATGTAGAAATTTACTTAAGTAGTAAAGAATGTGGTGCCCTGACTTTGGTATTATGTTTCACCTCATGATTCAGGCATCTTGTTTGCCTTAAATGGTTTCACAAGCAGGAGGGTGACCCAGCGTAGATTTGCAGTGGCCGCACAGAGCGCAGCTAAACAACAGATTTAATGAGGTCAGAATTTCACACAATGCCTTATTCAAAGAATTCACGCAGCCAGAGAGCAGTTGTGGTAAATTGCAGTTGCCCATGGCTTTGCATCTAGAAGCAAAATCTTTTTCCACAAATAGTTTAAAGTGTTTTAAATGTTCAAAAATAGATGCCAATTTCATTTAGCTTTAAGATTCAAACATTCGTCAGGGTGGGGAACTCATATCCTCAATTGTTAAGAAAATTAGTTTATGAACTAAAAATATAGAGCTGCATTTACTTCTCTAAAATCAAGAAAAAACAAAAATATTTCCTAAGAGATTTTGGTATACCAGAAGTTTACCCTTTGTTTTCTACTTTAGGTTTTTGGACCATCTATACCTTATATTGCATTTCTTTAAATGTCTGTCTCCCTTACTTAACTTTAAACTCCTTGAAGACAGGCATTAGTGGACCTTAAAGACTTAATACATGATTGCCAAATAAATATTGAATGGAAATGAGAATCATTCATATGGTTAATGCTAAACTCATAAATAAAAAGCTCATAAAATTTCAGTCTGTCTTATTTCTGCAAGAAGTATCAGAGTAAGAATTTGACAAAGTTTACATTTTTATCTAATGACCACCTTTAATTTTGTGTATTCCATATTCAGTTTCTATGAAATCTCCTTTTCATTTTCTTCTTGGAAATATAGTTCCAGGTAGGCCGTTTTTACATTACTTTAGACCTGTGGATAAAACTACCATTACAAAGGTCAACTACCTCATTTTCTAGGCATTGGTATTAGGAATGAGGACATCCTCCCTTGTATTAAAACTCTATGGTTACGAATGCTTCTACCTAAGGATTGATCATCTTTGAACCATACTATCTCAAAAAGTCATAGGTCAAGGATGCTCTCTAGCTCCGCTTTCTTCAACACAGTCCTCAAAATATAAACCACAGCAATTACAAAAGAGAAAGAAATAAAAGGGTTATATATAAGAAAGGAAAATGTTAAATTAGTATTATTTGCGGATGACATAATCCTCTATATAGGAGACTTCAAAAACTCCACCAAAAGACCCCTAGAAATAATAATTGAATTCAGTAGTATAGCAGGATACAAAACCAACATTCAACAATCAAGCATCAATAACATTTCTGTACTCCAATAATATACTCACTAAGAAAGAAATTAGGGAAACAACACTTTGCACAATAACATCAAGAAAAATGAAGTACTTAGGAATCGATCTAACCAAGGAAGTGAAAGATTTCTACAATGAAAATTATAGTGCCCAGAAAAAGGAAATGAAAGAGAATATCAGAAAATGGAAAGATAGCTCCTGTTTCTGGATGACCATAACCAACATAGTGAAAATGATCATACTTACAAAAGTGTTATACAGACTTAATGCAATCCCAATAAAAATACAAATAGCATTCCTCACAGAAAAAGTGAGAACAATCCTAAAATTTTTATGAAACCAGAAAAGGCTTAGAATAAGAAACTACTGTGGGGAACAAGTGTAAGGCAGGGGGCATCACAATCTCAGACTTCAAGTTATACTACAAAGCTGCAGCAATAAAAACAGCATTATATTGGCAAACAACAGCAAATAAAAAACAAACACAAAACAAAAGAAAACAAAACAGACCTGTGGATCAATACAACAGAATAGAGGATGCAGAAACAACTTCAGGCATGCTTAGCTACTTCATCTTTGATAAATGGGCCAAACACCTTCACTGGAGGAAAGAGAGCCTCTTTAACAAATGGTTCTGAGAAAACTCACTTTCTTCAGGCTTAGGACTGAACCTGGACCCATATCTATCCCTACGTACCAAACTAAAATTGAAATGGATCAAAGATGGAAATATTAAACATAAACACTTTATCTATTGGAACATAAATAGGTAAAAACTCTTGAAAATGTAGCTGTAGACAAAACCTTTATGAACTAAATTGTGGTTTCACAGGAAATATTACAAAAAATCAACAAATGGGATCATATCAAATTAGAAATCTTCTGCAAAGTAAAGGAAACCAACAGAGTGAAGAGACAACCTACAAAATGGGAAAAACTTTTTGGCAGCTACTCTTCAGACAGGGAACTACTATCTAGAATATATGAAGAACTCACAAAAAGCTAGACCCCTCCAAATTTAAAGACCCAAACTAAAGTGGACATCTGAAATGAACAGACATTTCTTGGATAAAAAACTACAAATAGCTAATAAATACAGAAAAAATGTTTAACATCACTGCAAATTAAAACCACTGAGATTCTCACTCCAGAAAGTACAGCTCTCATCAAGAAATCAACCAATAACAGATGCTAATGAGACCGTGAGGAAAAAGAAACCCTTCTCCATTGTTGGTGGGAGTGTAAATTGGTACAACCACTATGGAAAGCAGTATATAGATTCCTCAACAAACTAAATCCAGAGGTTCCATTTGATCCAGCTATTCCCCTTCTAGGTATCATCAAGAAAAATTTAAAGACATCATATTACAGTGATGCATACATACCTATGTTTATACCAGCACAGTTTATAAGAGCAAAATCTTAGAAGCAGCCTGTATGCTCATCAACAAATGAATGAATTAAGAAGATGTGGTACTTATATATAGTGGAATACTTCTCTACCATAAAGGACAAACTTGGGGTATTTTTAGGTAAATGAATGCACTTCAAGACCATAATGTTAAGTGAAATAAATCCAGAACACATGTTTAAATATCATATCACTTCATTTGTATGAAAAACCCAAAGTATAAATAAGGACCAAAATGTGCAATAGATGTTAGGAAGTTGAAAGAACTTGTCCAAATGGGGAAAGGAAAAAGACATGGGGGGAGGGAGGAGGAAAAAAAGAAAAAAGAAGATTTAAAAAGAAAAAAGCAAGAAAGTGAATAACATGGAAATAGAGCTTTTATAAATGTCGAGGGCAAGAAAGGTCAGAGGGGAGTGAGGGGAAGGGGCCAAAAAAAAAAAAATTAAGATGTGTGAAAAACATAGTCACATCCTCCATGATGAATGTAACCATTATGTACTGCAAACATGTACTAATAAAAAATATGAAATAAGATTTTTAAAAATCATATGAAATAAAAGGTATTGGGATAGGAATTAAGTGATCATAAAATTTATCATCTAACTTTGGACAGTTTTGTCTTTGAAAAGAAAAACTCTCAAGTTACTGGGAAAATAGGTATAGTAGACTCTGCTATGGAAACAAACCAGGGAGTCAGGTCACCTTAGGTGAAAACAACCTGACCCAGTGCACAATGTACCATTACTGCAGGTGATTTCCAGTTTCATTTTCCAAATTGTGCATTTATAATGTCTATGCAAAGCCTTGACTTATGACTTGGCTGGAAATATGAAATAGCTCCTTTTGCTACACTAGAAAGAAAATAACTTTTCACTCCAGTGGTATTATTGAATAACTATCTTCAAACCAGGGTTCTTTGTACGAATACAAGTGCAGACAATTACAATGGAGTTAATTTATAGATTCTAACTCTCTAGTTATTTTTCTTAGCATTGATTATTTGTTTGTTTCCTGGTAATTTTCTTAATTTAATTAATACCTACTTACAAAACCCATAATTTTCTAGTCATTCATCTCATTAGATATTTCCAGGTATTTTTGCTCTTATGTGATACCTTTGTTCAGATCCCTTTTCATTATAGGTTTTAATTTTTCCCTATCATGTGTGTGTGTGTTTCTATTAGAAAGTAGTCTGGAATAAAAAATGTGCATAGTAAAAGTAGTAAACTTCAGTAAGAACCAATGAACTCTTTAAAATGCATTTCATTCACATGTTAAATACAATGAGTTTTTTTGCATTATGTTTATTGGTACATTTTAGGCATACAATGACATTCATCACTCGGAATTTGTACCTGTACAATCAACTTATAAAAATTATTTTCAATCTCTATCCCTAAGATGCATTGTTATGAAGAAAAAAAAAGAGAATCCGCAAGTATCCAACATAACAAGATAACATACTCTTAACATTTTTAAGTTTAGCTAGAGGGCTATTTAAGAAACCAGGTTTTTCAAATTATGATGGACAAAAATTGCAGATGAAGGATTCTTTACTTTAAATATGGTATTTCTTATTCAACATTGTACTTAAGTCTTATTTTGTCACATGCTATCATGAAACAGGTATTAATTATGGGACATAATCATTGTACTCCATTTTAATCAT